TGGTCTGCCGCGATGCGCTCGAGGACCTTCGAGGTAGCACACAAGATAGAGATTGGCCTGAAATCATTTAGCACGGCAGGACTTCTAACTTTAGGGACGGGACAGACAATGGCCGACTTCCAGACCTCAGGAAAGACCCCGTGGGTGAAGCAAAAGTTAAAAATGTGAGTTAAGGCTAGGAGGATGCTCGGAAGCGCCCTAACCACCAGGCTCCGAGGTAGTCCATCCACTCCCATGGCATCCGACTTACTCTTGCCGATAGTCCGAACAATATCCAGGGGCTCAATGTTGCTCCAATAAAATTTTGAGTCATCATACGCAGTCTCGCCCAAGTAGATGGCCTGGATACAGTCCGTGTTCGACGTCACGTTGCACGTAAAGTGGTCAACAAGTTCCTCGCTGGTAAAAGCGAGATTCTCCGTCCTTGCTTTGGATTTAAGAAGACCGAATTTTCTAAGTTTTCGCCAGATCTCATTAGGCTCATTCAAATCCTGGAACTCCTCATGGAAGAACTCCGACTTAGCCCTCCGTACCTCGACCTGCACCAAGTTTCTCAGGCGTCTAAAGGTGAGGTAGTTAGCGTCCGTTCTACTCCTCATCCAGACTCTTCTGGCTCTATCCCTCTCCCTCATCCGGGATTTAATATCCTCCGTGAGCCAAGGTGCTGGCAGGTGCTTAGGTCGCATGACCCGGAAGGGAGCATGTAGGTCGTAACAAGTCAAAAGGAGATTGTTGAAGATATCAACTTTTGCGTCGACACTAGCTGCAGAGTAAAGCTCAGACCAGTTCAGAGACGCAAGTTCGTCGAGAAAATTCTCCAGATTAAAAGCTCGAAAATCCCGAACTCGGATGGTGCGCTCAGGGATCCGCTCTATCCTGACATCGTATGTGATGGCGATGAGATCGTGAGCGGATAGAAAGCAGACCTCACGCTGCACGTAATCGACAAGCTTATTAGACTCATCTATAAGGCACAGGTCAAGCAGGGTGGAGGCAGTACGGGTATGATGCGTAGTGGTGTAGGGCACAAGAAAAAAGTTAGATGCGCGTACAAATGATCGAATATGTTCCGAGTCAAAGGTCGAGGAACAAAGATCGGCATTAAAATCCCCGAAAATGATGGAGTGCTTGTAATTAACCGACAAATCAGAAAAGACGTCAAAGAAATCCGAAAATCCGCAGTGTGGTGGTCTGTAAACAACAGCTAGTAGTATCTTGGAACAGTTCCTGACAGAAATCTCAAGAATTAGATGTTCAGGACCTTCACAGTTGATGTTCCCGGATTGACGCAAGGTCGAGGCCTGGAAAGAGTTCGACATGTATACTGCCACCCCCCCCACCACCTCTACCGACACGGTCGCATCTCAGGAGATGATATCCATATAGAGAGACCATATGATCAGGTACATGCGGTTTTAGCCAGGATTCAGATATGCAGATGATATGATATCCCGAACCAACGAAAAAGGATCGGAATTCATCAAGATGTGCAAGCAGAGATTGGCAGTTGACATGACAGAGACGAAGATGATTCGTAGGCTCGTTATCCATAATTAATGCTGCTAATCCTTTCCGACATACGTCTGCGTAAGATGGGACAGTTCTTGTTGTCAAGGGCTGAATGTTGTCGTCCTGCTTGAGGCAACCATCGCTTGCAGTTCCCGCACTCCGGTGCCCCGCTCCTCAAGGTGCAATTCCTAGTTTCGTGACCGCCTGCACAGTGACCGCATATAGTCGTGAAACGACAATCTTTCGCGAAATGACCGAAAGCAAGGCATTTGAAACACTGTAGGACTCTTACGTAGTCAGTAATCTCGCAGGCAAAGTAGTCTAAAAATATGTACCGGTCTTTAAGCAAATGAGTGCGGATGTCCGGAGTGACCTCAATCACGCAGTTGGTCGTGCGCCGATTATCTTTCCGGGGAAAGATGTACACAACTTTTAACTCAGGCGCATCGTGGTCCTTTAGGTTGAGAGTGACAAGATCTTCCTTTATCTCCTCCCTCGACATGGTGCATGGCACTCCGCGAATCAGTAGCCTAGGGTTGATTTTGCCTTCCTGCTCCAATCTGAGTCCAGCGTCTTCAAGTTCCCGAGAACTTTTTATCTTGGGCAGATTCACAGTAAGTGCCTCAATACGCACACCGTTGTTCTTCGCTGACGTAATTCTGTTGACCTTAAGGTTGTACTCAGATGGCTTAATGGTCTTTTGCAGCACTTCCCTGGTTTCCCTAGACGTTTTGTACTTCGCGGAGAAATCCTCCTTTGGAGTAACAATCAAGTTGGTGGTTCTAGGTACCTCGATAGAGGAGCCGCGAGCCACCCGCACGCACGATTGCTCCGAAACCACCGCTGCATAAGAGGGCACAGAGGAAGCGCCGGCGTTCCTCTGCTCTATTGGCTGAAGATTGCCGCTCAAGCTAGCTGTTAATTTGTCGTGGGCATCAGACAAGGCGTCGCCTACTATGCTTCTGACCGTTTCCGCAATGTTAACCTGTTGAGAATCGCTTTCAATCATCTTAAGATATGCCGCAGAGAGTTCAATAAATGCCTCTTTACAAGCGCGAAAGGCCGAATCGATCTGAGTTCTCTTTTCAAGACTTTCCTTGCTAGTCAGTAGCAGTCTCGACACATTGTCGTGATGCCTGTTAAGAGATTGCCTCAGGGCATTGACTTTCGAAGCATTTAATACAGAGTTTTGCAAATTCGCCGCCGATAATGTACGCGTAAGACCTTTCGTAATATTTATATTTGCGTTTTCCCTCTGCCCGCCGCCTTCCGTGTCCGCAGAAGTGGGAGAAGGATCCGTCGTCCGCTCCGGTTTCGACATATCGCACGAAAGGAACCAATGGGATGTGTCAGCGCATGCGCCCCTCACTCAGACTTCGACAAGAAGATCGAGTTCCAGAAAAATCAATCGAGATTCACAGTGAAATAAGAGAAAATACCTCAGAGACTCTCGTGATCTGACCCTGAACAGGGAGAAGTAGCAAGCAATCAGGCTTTGCAGTCCGTGTACTGTAACGAGAAGGCCCCGAAGGGCCATAGACAGCAGAAAATATTCTCAGAATACAGAGCGATATTTGACACGTCTAAATGTACTTACAGCACGGCCGAGAGAGAGAGAGAGAGAGAGAGAGAGAGAGAGAGAGAGAGAGAGAGAGA